CATAACTGCAATCTTGGCTGTGAAATGGTTATTATTCTATTTTTAACTTTATTTCTTTTCTTTTCTTTTTCCCCAGCCTACTGAGCGCATTACAATTCTGTCATCATACTACTATGGTGAGAATCAAGCACTTGTTAATTTTATCTTTGACTGTACTAGTTTCATGTGAAATAATTTTGACGGAATGTGGTGCATGAATGATACATATAGGTAACTTTAACCCACATAACCATTTTGTAAAATTGCTTTGTTTAGTACTGTGCTTGAGAAACTTAATGAGGCTTTGAGAAGGGAGTAAAAGTGAAGGGGAGGGATATAGGACTATACAAATTGTAAAGAAGCCTGGTTTCATTTAAATATCTTCCAGTATTCTGGTTGGAATTACTTATTTACCTATTTTGCACTTTTAACTTCAATGACTGGATAAAGAAGCATCAGTAGGTTTTTGAATAGTTTGAGACCAAAGGCTGAACCATGTATATTGCTGAATTTTCTGCTTCATTACTTGTTCCTTGTTAATACATGTCTTGCAAGCGCCAAATGAAGACAGATCTGGTGTTTGTTGCATTAGAGATGTTGATTATCACATTTGAATTGGTTGAATTTACATTGTGTTTATGGCTTGGTCATGTAACTTTTAGATACCGAGATGGAGAGTTGTGAACATGAGAGGTCAATTATGAAGCGGAGGCTCGCTGCATCTGCTATTGAAATTGAGAGACAGGTAAAAGGGAGTTCCGTTTAACATGATATTTTCATACATTATACATGGACTTATCCAGTGTCATTTTGCAGAGAATGAAATGCTTCCCATGATATAGCAAGCAAATATGAGCATGAAGAAATGTTGCGGTTGCATTCAACCAGCCAGATAACCGTTCTTGTATTTTGTGAGACAAAAGTTGGGAAATGGTGAGAAAATATTAAAGACCAGTTCGTAGATAAGAACCCAACTATCTTTCATGTGAATATCTCAGACAACATTTGTGGTGTCACTGAGTAGATTTATACTGGAACTCCTCTGAAACTAACACTGCTTCTGTAAAATGAATCTCGAAAGCTGAGTGAATTATTATACTGGAAGTTGATGAATGCACGCGTGTAAGTTTTTTTGGAGACCTTCTCCTAATGTTAGCTGTGAAACTGCAGAAAGTGTTTTTCGTGCAAGGGTAAGCCCATAATAGATTGAAGATACCAACATTATGAGGCTCTTTAGTTTGGACCGTTAGATGAAAGGATCTGTTTTATTATTTTGATTCGTCGCATGTAAACAGTTGATGATTTCCTTTGCGCGCAGTTGGGGCTGGGCTGCTAGGTATCGTTCCATTTGTAATGTAATAACCCAAGAAAGTAGGAGAGTTTTACCACCATCCCCCCTCCCCCAAAAAGAAAACCTTAAAAATAGACTTGTTTGAGGGTGGTAAAAATATAAAGCATTACTGAACTTACCAGTCGTTGGTTTTCACTGTTTGAGTATGCAAAATCTAGTGCCAAAATTTTGAGATAAAACTGATCCATCTACCCCCTACTTGTAATAGGAAACATGTCAAACTCTTATCTAACGAACTGGAAATACCTTGACGCTTCTAGATTGTAAAAATTATGGTACATCAAGTCAATTTGGTTGCAACAGTCAAGATCCATGAGTGTTCATCTCCCTTGACCATAAAGACTTGGACGAGAACAAAACATACAGTTGCATTATTCAATTGTCAGTCAATTTGGTTAAAACGTGTCATTGGCCTTACGGACAAGCATGCAGGTCATGAGTCAGCTATATGCATGGTGAAATTTATCCACCAAAAACAAAACATGGTCAAAAGTTAAAACCTACTTTACCATGCATGATAAACAACAACATTAGAACGTGACGGGGGATCATCGTCACGTGTCTGAATCTGTTTGGGTCATATCAATTTCCTCCCATCCCATGTGTTCCAAAATTTCAATTTCTTGGAAACATAACATGTGCTGCCTGCCGTTGATGAAGCCGAAATGGCATTTAGTATCTGTAGTTAGTTAAGGATTAAAATGTTTTGGTATGAACACAATTAGAAGGATAGAGTTAGAGCACATGGTCAATTTGGTAGCAGCTGTATTCGGTTTCCAGCATTTTAGGGTTGGCATTTAAACGGTGTGCTGTGTTGTGTTGTGTCCCATCCCATCAACTGGGCTGACTTTTGGGGACGACGATGAAGTCTTAGGATGTTTCACAAACATGGCTGTGTCTTCTTCAACGGATGGGCGGAAAACATGCCCACATGGCTATAGACGCCAACACGAGACGAGGCACAGGTCTATGGAACATGGGTCAATCTTTAACCCCATTATGTAAATTTTATGTTTTGGCTCTTTGCTGCTCCGGCTTCTGCCTCCTTGTTCTTGGAATTCACTCGACCTATCACATGGAGAACCAACGTTTTTATGAATTTTGTTTTGTGGTGCCCCTGTCCCATATCAATCCAAGTTCTTCCCGAGCTCTCACAATTCAACTACAGTTGAATGAAACAAAATAAGTTGCAATGATTCGAATCGTCTAATTTTCAAATCTTTGTTCATAGATTATTCTTGATATTATTCTGAAAAAAAATAGACGAAGACGAGAGATAATTGATTGAAGGTAAACATCTTTCTAACTGTCAACAATTAACGTATAATTTTGCATTTAATCTAAATAGTTAAGTGTGAGATAATTAATATGAGTGGGGTGGGGTCACAAATTAGTAGCGAAAGCCCACCACGCTGGTAGATTGCCAACACAAACTCGTTACTGTCCTACAACTTGTTAACCAAATTGCCTTATATTTTCTAAAGGCTGGAGCCTTGGCGACCACGGTGCTATTCCGAAGTTTCAGCTTTCTTCTCTTGTTGGCTGGTGCCTTGATGATGTCTTTGATCAAATTTATTGTTTTCAGGCCACAAAGTTGGCGCTACGAGAAAATCCAAGCAAAACCTCAGGCGGGTTAAGTCAGATTCGATCCCAAATGTTTGATGCCTACCACAATCACTTATTCATCACCATGTAAATGTATGCAGAAAGTATGATGATTGCTAATTTGCTGTTTGCTGTTTGCTGTTGCAAGAAAAGACATGTGCCGTCGGCATGCAAATTACTCCGCTCTTATGTTGGCAATGTGTATGAGGTTTTTGTTTTGACAAGTTGATGTTCGAAACTACTTCCAAGGTAATGAAAAGAAAAACTCAAAATGGGACATTTGTCAATCGTACAAGGGTTTCCTCATGTCACGTGAAAGTAGTAGAATTAATTAAGGTCAATATGGAAGCAAGCAACTTGAGATGAACATACATTAATTATTATATAATCTATATATAAAAGTAGAATTAATTGTATTATATTGAAAGATAGAGACCGGATGTGATGTTGGTACCAGATCTTTTTCGCTCGTCATATTCAAAATTTTCAAAACAAATACTATTTCTGTTCCTATTTAATATTTAATCAATACATATGCAATAAAATATAAGTTAAATTCGAAAGGGGTAGAAGCCACCAGGACTGGTATGTGCTATGTGGGGGTCATTAGTTTTGGCTGCTCACTATCTACAACTTCTTCACATGCCTGCGCATGACTTGGTTTTCTTTGGATACTATAATGCTTCTGTTTACCCTTCTCTTCTGTTCATGTTTATAATAATAATAATAATAATAATAATAATAATAATAATGTATTGGGGTACAAATTACGTGCAAACAGGTGCAGTAAAAACTGCAAATCAGGATTCACAGCGATGGTCCCTAAGCCTCTGCTAAACATGGATCGACAGAGGAACTTAATTAGCAGGAAGCACGCCAGAAAAAAAGTTGAGCACATCCCGATTATTTGTTTATTGGAAAAGTAGAAAATCCCGCTTAATTGCAGCTTGTGTTGTGAACCAGCCATATTATATTGTCGACAATTACGTATTTATACATGATTGTTGATTACTAGTATGGTTAATATAAATAATATTACGTAATTAAGATAAACAATTACGTAATTAAGATAAATAATATTCTGAATATTTGCTAATTACATAAAGGTTTTTAAACGTGTGTAAAAAGCATACTTAACCTTTCACTTTTTGTTCGTTCGTTTGTTTTTTTCTTTCTATAATGGGGTTCAAATTGATAAGAAGCATGCTAAAGTGTAATAATTAAAGAATGAATTAGAATGAGTAGTGTAGTTAATTACATAAATTGTAGCCTAGGAATCCGGTTCAATTTGACAGAGACGAGACCACACGTGCCGTGTCGTAAACCGAAACATGGAACTGGTCAACATTCAACAATGTCACACTTGCATACTCATCTTGGAGTTTTCAAACAACAAAGATAGGGGAGCCTCTCTCTCTCTCTCTCTCTCTCTCTCTCTCTCTCTCCTCACCATTCTCCATATAGTTGCCACACATATTAAATTATGTGTCTTGGACCTACTTTTATCTAGCAACGTGATTGTAACTTAAGTGATTAAAAATAAGTAAATTCGAATTCCTTCTAATAAACGAAATAATTGATTAATGTTAGATAATATTATTTTCAAATGACAAACAAGTAATAAGGATAACATGGGCTTGCGTGCTGTGACTGACACAAAGAGGCCCGCGTAGTAGGGTGATAAACAAGCACATTTCCCTTAACCCACTTGAACTCTAACCCCAATTTGGGGACACTATGAGAAAAGACAGTATGGCGTATCTCCATCCCCCTCCTCCCTCCTCTCCCCAACCCCAACCCTAACCTTTTTTTTTTCTTTCTTTTTTTCTTTTATGATCATTTTATCCCTTTTCTTCTCTTTCTCTCTCTCTCAAACCCTATTAATATAAACCCTTTAGCCCACTTCTTTCTCCCATGCACTTGTCTCCCTCCCTCCTCCTCATTCCTCTCTACCTTCTGCCTTCCCTCCCCTTATCTGATCTCTCTCCATAACTTGTCTCAAAAAACACTTGCTCCTTTCTTATATAAGTAGAGTTACTGCCTCTCTCTCTCTCTCTCTCTCTCTCTCTCTCTCTATCTCATTATATCTCATTCTCATAACCCATCATCAGTTTCTCTCTTTACTTCTCTGACATACTATCTAGCTCTCATTTGTCTTTCAGGGTCTTTTTCTTTCCCCTCATTCTATTCTAGTATTCTCAGTCAATTCAAGTTCCTTCTTCTGACACACCTCAAGCTTCAGTTAATTAACAATGTCAAGCAGAAGATCCTCTCGTTCGCGGCAGTCGGGTACGTCCAGGAATATCAGCGATGAGCAGATCACTGATCTCGTATCCAAGTTACAGCAGCTTCTTCCTGAGATTCGCAATAGGCGCTCCGACAAGGTATACATTTATTATTTCTTGTTTTTTTAAAATTTATTTTATTCTCTTCTTCTCTCTGTATATACTCTGTCAATATTTATATACACAACATATATATATATATATATATGTGTGGTCTTTATTTGCTTAGATAATACACAGACAGAGGTAGATAAGTCACACTCAAAGCGTGCCCTCTCATTTATTCTCTAGCCACAACTTGAGTTGTGGTGTGGGACTCTAAATGTTCCCCATGCCATCCTCACCAGGCCCTCATATATGTTTCAATGTTTTTCACAAAGGCCTTTGCATTTAATAATTATGTATTAATTTGGTCAGGTCTCAGCGTCCAAGGTCCTCCAGGAGACTTGCAACTATATCAAAAATTTGCACAGAGAGGTGGATGACCTAAGTGACCGGTTATCGGAGCTTTTGGCTTCAACAGACATGGACAGCGACCAAGCAGCCATTATTAGGAGCTTACTTATGTGATACTTTTGGAGCTTCCTAATTAATCAAGTTCAGTAGTTATTAATATTATATTATTCTCTTTTTGTCATGAGCCTTTGATCTTTCTGCCTAGCTACCTAGCTAGCTAGGGTTTGCTCATTAGGCCAGAAGAAAGACTATTTATATATATATATATATATATATAGCTAGTTTGGTGTTGCTACTCTTCATGTCGACGGTATCGCTTTTACAGCGACTTGCACTTGTAGCACGTAATTAACTATATAATAATAAAATGAACTTTTAGAGAGTTCTAATTCTATTTGTGTGATGATTTAAATTTACATTTCTGTATATAGCAATTGTCTTTGTCCCTGAATGCGACATTTTTAAGATTATCTATTATTGTTGAATGCGACACGTAATTAAGTCGAAAGGAGAAGGGCTAGCTAGCTACATTGTGATTAATTATTTAAAATGATATCGTAATCTTCTTTTTTCTTTTTCTTCTATTGAAATCTTAGATATATGTGAACCTGTAAAGGCAACCTTGAGGCTGACAAACATGTGACTTTACCCCACACACCAATTTGGTAACCGACCTCTCATCAAACAAAAAGAAAAAACATTTGGTAACGAGGTTACACCAAAATGATTCCTTTAGGAGGACGATTATCTCTTGAAAATTAAACATCGTGCAGACAATCTTTCTGTTGTGTTGTCCATTATAACTCTGACTTTCATTGGATTAATATTTGTTTTATTATATTAAAGTCGTCATTACGACAACTCGTTCTTAAAGCATTGTAATGCATGCTTATCCTCAATTATGAAAGCTTAACTCAAAGAGCTTGGCATGGAAGAGATACCTATTCTCTCTCTCTCTCTCTCTATCTCATTATATCTCATTCTCATAACCCATCATCAGTTTCTCTCTTTACTTCTCTGACATACTATCTAGCTCTCATTTGTCTTTCAGGGTCTTTTTCTTTCCCCTCATTCTATTCTAGTATTCTCAGTCAATTCAAGTTCCTTCTTCTGACACACCTCAAGCTTCAGTTAATTAACAATGTCAAGCAGAAGATCCTCTCGTTCGCGGCAGTCGGGTACGTCCAGGAATATCAGCGATGAGCAGATCACTGATCTCGTATCCAAGTTACAGCAGCTTCTTCCTGAGATTCGCAATAGGCGCTCCGACAAGGTATACATTTATTATTTCTTGTTTTTTTAAAATTTATTTTATTCTCTTCTTCTCTCTGTATATACTCTGTCAATATTTATATACACAACATATATATATATATATATATGTGTGGTCTTTATTTGCTTAGATAATACACAGACAGAGGTAGATAAGTCACACTCAAAGCGTGCCCTCTCATTTATTCTCTAGCCACAACTTGAGTTGTGGTGTGGGACTCTAAATGTTCCCCATGCCATCCTCACCAGGCCCTCATATATGTTTCAATGTTTTTCACAAAGGCCTTTGCATTTAATAATTATGTATTAATTTGGTCAGGTCTCAGCGTCCAAGGTCCTCCAGGAGACTTGCAACTATATCAAAAATTTGCACAGAGAGGTGGATGACCTAAGTGACCGGTTATCGGAGCTTTTGGCTTCAACAGACATGGACAGCGACCAAGCAGCCATTATTAGGAGCTTACTTATGTGATACTTTTGGAGCTTCCTAATTAATCAAGTTCAGTAGTTATTAATATTATATTATTCTCTTTTTGTCATGAGCCTTTGATCTTTCTGCCTAGCTACCTAGCTAGCTAGGGTTTGCTCATTAGGCCAGAAGAAAGACTATTTATATATATATATATATATATATAGCTAGTTTGGTGTTGCTACTCTTCATGTCGACGGTATCGCTTTTACAGCGACTTGCACTTGTAGCACGTAATTAACTATATAATAATAAAATGAACTTTTAGAGAGTTCTAATTCTATTTGTGTGATGATTTAAATTTACATTTCTGTATATAGCAATTGTCTTTGTCCCTGAATGCGACATTTTTAAGATTATCTATTATTGTTGAATGCGACACGTAATTAAGTCGAAAGGAGAAGGGCTAGCTAGCTACATTGTGATTAATTATTTAAAATGATATCGTAATCTTCTTTTTTCTTTTTCTTCTATTGAAATCTTAGATATATGTGAACCTGTAAAGGCAACCTTGAGGCTGACAAACATGTGACTTTACCCCACACACCAATTTGGTAACCGACCTCTCATCAAACAAAAAGAAAAAACATTTGGTAACGAGGTTACACCAAAATGATTCCTTTAGGAGGACGATTATCTCTTGAAAATTAAACATCGTGCAGACAATCTTTCTGTTGTGTTGTCCATTATAACTCTGACTTTCATTGGATTAATATTTGTTTTATTATATTAAAGTCGTCATTACGACAACTCGTTCTTAAAGCATTGTAATGCATGCTTATCCTCAATTATGAAAGCTTAACTCAAAGAGCTTGGCATGGAAGAGATACCTAATTGTTATTATAACTACTTCTAGTTCTATGTGATATATCGTTAATTATATATATAGGACTAACGATATTTTAGTCCATCGAGGTTTAGGTGCAATATTGAAATGACCTATGAGGTTTTAATTTCATCAATTTGATACCTAACGTTTCCATAAATCTAACAAATTCACACAATCCGTTAGATTGACCGTCTGATCGGACGTTAAATGTTGATGTGTCAACTGCGGGACCCATCACATATTGCTGACTGCCCAACCAACTAATCCATGTGAAGGCCATTTCTGGAAAGAAAAAACCAGCCCCCAAGGCTTTGAAGTTGTTGCCCCCTTTAACCCAACATCAATTCAATAGGGAAATTCTCAGAGTGTGCCCTATAACTCCTGTTGCGAAGAAGAAGATCAAGAAGTAGTTAGAATCATGGAATGGATAAAGAGGCGCCGATGTGTTGGTGTGGGAAGACTGCTATAATTCGAACGTCTTGGACAAATTCGAATAGTGGAAGGCAATTTTGATACTGCACCCAAACCTCAATACTATAACAAGTTGTAGTACCATACATGGTCTTATCTTCAGTTTGGTCCACACAATCAAATATTTAAATGGGAGCTAATTCTTACTACAGAGTGTCGACTTCAAGGCCAACTAGAGTGCGGCTCGTTAAGAAATATATTTTATTTATTTCTTAAGGTCTTATTCATATCATTTGATCATTTTCTTTAAATATTTCTTAGAGATAATGTTAATTATAATATGACCTTATGCTATCAAAAAATGCATTTTATTTAAGTTATTTTTAAATTGCAATAAACTATTTTTTCTTTTAAAATGGATGGCTAATGGGTCGAATGTGTACTTATTATTTACTCACCTTTACGGTATCATGCTTTATATACCTAGATGATTAGATTTTTAAACTGATGAAACATATCGTCGTGTTATCTATTTCTTTTGCTAATTGTATTCGTGTTTAGATTTTTTCATTTATTAACTTAACGGGTCATATTGAAACATATCGTCGTATTACCTATTTCTTTTGCAAATTGTGTTCATGTTTAGATTTTTCCATCCATTGAGAACAAATTATGTTTGAATTGAGCTACTTTTCATGAGGCACAACACGAATTCGCAAAACACGTGTATTATTTGCTGAAAATTTCTGTGCTCATGCAGAATGTCGTACAACCCGGTCCAAATTGAAGGCGTCGATGCTCATGATTAATTCCTTTGGTTGTCAACTCAAAATGATGAATAAAAGAATCTGGAATAGAAAAGTCTGATGCATGAATTGCGTCTTTAACTATTTGGTTAGGCTGTCATTATTATGGGGCGAATTATGGAATGGTAATATATTTGATTAGGTAGTTTGCACAGAAAATTATAAGTGTCAGAAGAAGATTTGCTTAAGCACTATTTAATTCATGTGATTAATTTAATCCAATTCTATTTTTTGCTCTGTATCACATGGAAGCAACGAACTTAGCAAGGTGAGATTGTATCACGCTGTCCCCGCAAATATAGTAGTGGAGATAGACACTGAAAAACGTGGATAAGACATCACATTCACGTGTCTTTCCACATGCCAAACGTAATTTTTGCAACATAATCAAGGGCGGAACCAGATAGTGGACTATAGACCAGTGATGTTTTGACTTTAAAATACACGAAGTTACACAATTTCATACATTATCAATACCAATATGTATAATAAGAGTAAAGTCTTTATCCCTAACTTTCCAATTTTATTTTTAACGAAATTCACTCTTTTATGAATAGATTGGCTCTAATTCTATTGTTCTTGTGTTAACAACTAATATATGCACGTCAAAGTTAATTATTTATGTTTTTACAGTTTGATGCCAATAAATGTAAACGGACTCAAACTGAAAATGTCATATTTAATTCTTATTATGCTAGTGGTTAAATTTTTTAATATTTTCATTTTGAATAATGAAAAATGCTAGGCATATAACATCGTGTATTATCTCTCTAATAGAAGTGGACCCATCATATGAAAGCCGCCTATGAATCTTAATAGCCAAAAAATGATAAACTGGTTGATCTAATGGATACAAGCACGTCCACATTAAATCCCAAATGGGCATGTAATCAACTGGCTCATGATTTAATATGGAGCTAAGTATTAGTCTCTTTATTTCCATTTGGTTGAATGGGTTTATGTAGGTTAGTCCAAAACCTACATAGGGCAGGGCCTTGATAACTTTCTAGATTGGGCTTTATTTGGGATCATTACATACACTTTTTATTGGGCCTTTGGTGGCGGGTAGGCCCATTTTCACCGGTTTTCTGGGCACGGAGCAGAGTCTCTGGCGCTTGGCTGGTTGCTTGTTCCAAAAGTGGGTACCAGCATGTAACGACGACACGCAACACAGACTCACAAATTACTTAGCTTTTTCTACAACCGCAGAACTTCTACCGCCTTCTCCTCCTTGATAGTTCTTGATCCACAAACAGGTACTGAGCTACGTTTTCTATTTCTTATTAAATCGTGTCCAATTATATATTTGATGAAATGATGTTTGTGCGAAATTGTCCATGATGGAATTGTAAATTGGAAATTTGAAAGAACAGGTTTTCTAAGAGATTTTATTTGGGTGAAATTGCAGTAACAGGGTTTCAATCTTATAAGTTTGTGAGATTTTGGTGATAATGAGTTCTGGTGGGTATGCCGTAGAAGTCACGGGCTTGTCTCCCAAAGCAACAGAGAAAGATGTCCATGACTTCTTCGCTTTCTCTGGTTCCATCGACCATGTTGAAATCGTCAGGTTTCATTTGACTCAATTCTCTACATAATTATAGTGTTTT